AACGGTATTCACCAGTTAGCAGTAGCTGCTGTAGATCCCAGGGTTCGATCCCTAGACCCCAACCTTACCTGTGTACAGTACCTGTGTCGGCCTGTAGAGTTGAACCCGTGACCTGTGTATTTGTAACAGCTGATAGGTTGTCGTAGGGTCCATGGTAGCATGGGTTCGATCTGTAGACCTGTGGGATAGGAGTCTTAGTCAGGTCTAGACATCGTAGCTGTAGTTTTCTTGAAAGGTCAAGGTCGTAGCTGCTACAGTCCAGAAGGGTCAGAATCGTAGCTGCTACAGTCCCGAAAGGCCAAGTCTACGGCCTTCCGGAAGGTCCCAGTAGTGGCCTTTCGGAGTTGCCCACGTTTAAGCAGAGGCAAGTGGTCAAGTGGTGAGGCAAGTGGGCAAGTGGGGGAAGTCTACCCTGCTGASTCAACAGTCCCAGTCCCCAGTCAGTCCAGCAAGTACCGCACGGGACTGTGTGCACTTCGGGCAAGGGATATGGGCCAGACCAACGACCTGCAGAAGTATAAATCAAGAGGCAGCGCCCAGCCATTCATTCATTCATGCGGAAGCCATGCGGAAGCGCTGTCTCAGCGTCTTGTGCGAGGAGGTCTGCAGTGAGCCCGAAGTAGAAGTGGGCGAGAGACACGAAGTACAGCCATAGCGATAGGGTAGGGGCAGCCATAGCTGCCATAGCTGTAGTTAGAGGGAAGTGTGTGTGGGTTGTGTGAGTGTTCAGAGTGATGCGTATGGGATATCCAGGGTGATCCAGTGTGTGAACAGTGAGTTGTTTGGGCGCTAAGTCGCCATAGCCAGTTGAAAGTGAACTCGTATCCGGAAGCCATATCTCTGAGTCCTGAGTGGGCGCATGTCGCCAGTGTGCTGTGCTGCTGTTTACACACATGAAAAGTGTGAATAAGACGAGTCTGATTGCAACAGCTACGACTTGTGGACCTGACTGTGACTCCTATCCGACAGGTCTACAGATCAAACCCCTGCTACCTATGGACCCTATGACAACCTACCAACTGTTACAAATACACAGGTCACGGGTTCAACTCTAGGAGTCGACACAGGTACTGTACACAGGTAAGGTGGGGACTAGGGATCGAGCCCTGGGATCTGCATCAGCTACTGCGAACTGGTGAATACCGTTTCACCTGTCCATTTGGAATTTTTTTTTATTTTTTTTTTGAAGTGATGCGCCACATCAGGTGCTCGCGCATGCATGTGTGTGCGCTATGCGCCACACGTGCGCAATTCGCTCGCACATGATGTGCCACAAGTATGCTGCAAATGCTTTCTGATGTCTGGCAAACTTTTGATGACTGGTTGTTACAATTGGTGATGGGTGTCCTCGTGAGCTTAAGCGGTTAAGCGTTGCTGTTTCACATTTAGCACCTCACTCGACTACTCTGCAAATGTGAAAATGGCCAGCAGTGGAGCATTGGCCATCGTGACAGTAATTGGCTGTCGCAGTCCGGTTTGGCAGTCAGGATATTACATGCCCAGTTGGGCGATGTACATATAAAACCGAGGATCCGCAATGTGATAAAAAGGACTGGATGGACAATGCAGTGCAAGTGAAATCTCAACAAGCAGTGTACATTCTGATACATACAAAAATGGTGCTTTTATAGCCCAGTGGAAGACTTAGATACAAGTGCAATGAACCCAGATCATGAAGACACTTGTCAACAATGCAAGCCCAGATGAATATCAACCTGCTGATGATCATCAATAATCATAATCATGTTCAGATAGAATGAGATGGGGAAAACATACACAGATGAAGGAGAGAGGAGGGAGATTAGACTTAGAGAGTGGAGAAAGAGACAATGCCCACCGGGCTCCCTCCTCAATCACCACCTCAGTAATCAATAATCTGAACGCGCATCTGAAGTACTATCACAATGTGCCACGTGGCACGTCAATCAGCCCTCATCATCAAGCTGGAGCAATGTCGACGTCGAGATAACCAGGTACGTATCCACTATCACCCCACAGTCATGATCTCCTCCCGAATGTCTTCTAAACAGAACAGCAATGCCAGTCGTGAAGCCTCGCCACGTCAACAACAATAAATACGTGGCAGCGACCACATCAGTGGCGGCGCGTGGCAGCTGCCACGTCAGCATGCCCAGAAGACAATTGCCAGCCAGCCACCATGCCAAGCCAGCAGCGCGTCGCCGCAGTCGCCCAAGTGCCAGCGTCCAACCAGCGTCGAGCCAGCATCGATGTCAATGCGAGAATGTCAACGCGAGAAGTCAGCATTGACGCAAGACAGAATGTTCCGCAAAGCCAAGAGGTCAGTGCTTTTGTAGCGTTGATGCGGGGTCTGGACCCCAGGTGCTGCTTCCTTCAGCCGTCGAGATCTCAATGCAATTAACGGCCCAGATTGGCCTGAAGCCGAATTCCCTGTGGTCTTGACGCTGTCTGGGTACTGCGCACGACAAGTGAGTGTATCCGACCAAGGGCCTGCGCGCGGTACCTTTGACCTGACAGTTGACTTAGACCCTTGACTTTCCAAGGGCAGTGCGTGGTCACACTGCCTGGTGCAGGCCGAGTTTGGCCTGCGTTGTCTGGGGCTCCGTTCGAGGGCCCAGACTGCTGCAGCACACGGGTTACTGCACAAGTCCTGACCTGAACGGGACTGACCTCTATCACGTAGTGCAAGACAGCGCAGCAGAATGCTAGGATACCAATGACTACCCCAATCAACATTGCAACGCAGACCCAACATACATCATTCTCATCACAAGGTGTGAAGGGGCCTGGCGCTATACACAGGAAGAAGGAGCCAGGTCCAGATCATGCACAGACGAAGAGGAGGGGAACAGACGAAGAAGAGGGGGAGAGATGGGAATGTCGTCAACACCAAGTCTTTGTTACAAGTCCCAAATAANCGCAAGAGTCACTCAAGTACAAAATACAGGTAGGTCCTGCACTATCATGAAGGGTCGAAGTGAAAGCACTTAGTTGAAAGTTGAAAAGCTTGAGATTAGGTGAACAAGGAGAGGGGTTAGATGGAGGGGAAAAGGGGGGGGGATTTGGTGGAGAAGAAAAGGTCGTACGGTGGAGGGTGCGGAGAGGTCTGTATTGAAATGGGTACAATGTACACACCATTGGTTGATTTACTGCTAAGCTGAATCCTGCTCATACTTACTGGCGATAGCAGCAGGATTACACCTGAAGGCACTTGCAAAGTGGTTGATGGTCAGTTGCGCCTGCAAGGGGTCTGATAAAAGGGGCAAAATGAACAACTCCTGCTGATTGTGCGTGGACAGACCCTGAGTAAAGAATACCGCCACTTGCAGACACATCTCCACAAGATTCAACTCCTACATTAACCATGGATACATATCAAACAAAGAGAACTAGCAGCTGGTCATGCATGAAATCGTTGCACACAAGCACCTACCTTGTGGCTGAATGCTACACACACATAATTGTTGACAAATAGATCAGGAGCTGAAAACCAGATGGGTATTATGCACACTTGCAAGGGGACATTGTCCACGCGGTTTTGCACGTGCGGGGGACGGCCAGACAGGACCCATGCAGTTTCGCACGTGTGTGGGACGGCCGGACCGGACCCGCGCAGTTTCGCAAGTGCGGGGGACACCCGGACCGGACCCGCGCGGCGCACGTATGTGTGCACCTGACGACCGGTTATGTGTGCACCTGGCACCCGGCTATGTGTGCACCTGACAACCGGTTATGTGTGCACCTGACACCCGGTTATGTGTGCACCGGACGACCGGTTAACCCCCACCCACCCCTCCCCCCCACAAAAGAAAAAGAACAGGGGTCGAAACGGCAGTTTCAAGGCCCTCTTCAAAAATTATTACCGGTACCACAAAAAAACATTTTGGGCCCGCGCTCAAGCGCAGATGCCTCGGGGTTTCGAAATTTAAAACCTCCTCGTAGGGCAGCGCTCATCCAGTGGGGTTTGGGGAGCCTTGGAGTCTGGACCATTTCAGTTGCATTCGAGGAGCGCCGTCGCCATACTGCTGTTCGGGCCATCCTGGCCGTCGCCGTCACCATCCTGCTGGGCCGCCGTCCCGCTCATCGCCATCTTGCCCCTCATTGCAGCCATTGAGGAGGAGCACGGTGAGTGACACCAGCCCGTCCTGCTCCTCCTCCCCCTCGTCCGCCATCTGCATCCTGCCCATCTGTTGCTGCTGCTCATGGGTTACATAATACTCTATAACAGGGTTGCATACCCGCCTACCCCAACCACCGACCGTTGTGGAGCCTACCACTAGGGGCGGCCGATCGACGGCCTGCCGACCAGTCAGTCAACAGCCCTCCAGTGATTTTTTCAAAAATATATGGGGCTGTACTGCGCTTGCTGAGTACATCCCAAATCCGCTGAGAAACTTTTGGGGCTTGGAGGGATGAGGGGGGAGGGGGGGGCGGTGTATTGGTGGGGTATAGGGTTGGTATAGGGGTTGTTGGAGAGAGGTATGAGGGTGTTGGGGGCCGGTTTAGGGTGTTGGGGGGGTGTATGGGGGTGTTGGCGGGGTTATTGGGGGTTATGGACTCCCAGAAAAACAAAAAACAAAGTTGTTTTTGCGGAGTGCCGACGACTGCCAACAGGTGGTGCCGACCAATCAAGGGGCGCTGAGCGTCGGCCTGTGCAGCTCTGCCATGCAGCACCAATCCGGGGCAGGGATCGGTGGTTTAGACCGCCAGTACACGGCCCCAGCCATGCTGAAAATGAGCTCGTCACCCATCCAAAAATTTCGCGCCTCGGGCCAATCGGACCACAATGGTCCGCAGCGCCAGCCAAAAAAGAAAAAAAAGTGCACCGCTGCGGCTCAGCAAAGCTCGGCATGCAGTGGAGCGCCTCCACGCCCGGTTGTACTGGTGGTTTAAAGAAAAAAGATTCTCCTTCTGACCTTTCACACTGGCTTTTCTCAGTTTCAGATATCTATCCCCCATCTCATGGCCATGTCCTTCTGCCTTTTTTCTCCAGTTTATGTCCAATGAGTCAAAGAACTTACCTTACCACAAATTTGCCTCTGGTCCTGGGAACAAATGTCTGGGCCAAGCAGTTGTTTCAGGCCCGCCATGAGTTCCATCAGAGATGCTGCTGGTCTTCGGCAGGGCAAATATTGGTCAGCAAGTTTCGGATCTGGTCAATCCAAGCAAGCTAATCATCAGTTTCTAGAAAAAGGCAAGTTGATTAATGATTATCAGTAGTTTCAAAGTTGTAAATTGCTGTTCTAAGTTTCTGAAATTTCTTTTCTTTTTTCCTTTTTTAGTCGGTGCTTTTTACTACTAGACACACAGCCATGTTATAGTCGTAAATTCGATAACTGAGACATTCATCGCTATCATTAGGCATCAAACCAACAGTCTTAAGAACGGGACATTTTCATGAATCTGTAACAAAGAGAATACGACAAAGAAACACATATTTGAATACATAAGCTGAATACAGTTAAAACTTAATAGCAAATGTGATAATTGAATCATTTGATGAACAGAACAGCCCGAAGAGCCCGATTTTATTCAGCAAAGTTATGGCAAAGATAATTATTAATTTCCTCTCTTTGACTAAAAAGACCGAACAGGAAAAGGAGACAAAATTACTGAAACAAAACCTGGAAATCTTATCATGATGCTGTGCTTTCAACTTTCAAGCTGCAACCGCTCATTCACTCGAACAAGCTAGCAATTTAGCACCTATATCAGATGCGCAGTTTGAAGCATCTCCACAGGCTCCAAGCGGCCAATGGTAGAAGGGCGTAGGAATGAGTTGTCGACCACCTCGCATACATTGCTCTTTGTGTTCTTTACTGTCCCAAGGTTCTGAAAAGACTTTGAAGAATGTGCCACGGGATCTGTAGTCACCCTCTGAAACGTGCATCCCCTTATTACCCTCCCCCCGCCTTCCCCCCCCTTCCCCCCCCTCTCCCCGAACCAGCCACCCAGAACATGCCAATTAAGTAGTCCAGTCGAAAAATGAATCAACTTAACAGCAAAGTTAAACCAAAAAAAAAAAACAAAAAAAAACACCAGTACTTTTCCCAGCCATTTTGCTCCGACGTGGCCGTTCACACACCGCGGCTTTCGGGGCAAAGCCTACAAATGGCTGGCGGCGCCAGCCAAAAGAGCAAATGTGCAGGCTCGCTTTTCTTTGGCACGCAAGGGGGAATCCGCTTCGGCAAAAGGAAGCCTCTAAGTACTGGCGGTTTAAGCAGACAGGGCATATTCCTGATCCTCTTGGCATGCACATCTGACTGGCCTCAATTGACTTTGATTCCAACAGTTGAAACAACCCCTACTCCTACCACCCCTACCACAACCCCAACCCCAAGCCTACCCCCGCCTCAAACCCAATCCAAACCAAGACCCCCACCCCCAAACCCCACCCCCCCAATCGACATACAGGGGTCGAGAATCCCAACATGTGGGATATCCATATTACCACACCAAGATGTGCTGAATTCACATGCTGGCCAGAATAAAAGCCATGTTCGATCATCATTAAAACAAAGAAAGAAAACTTGGCATTTGCTATGATCATTAGGACTTGTCAATCTGATTTACGTGATTTGATAGAATATGGCCTACACCAGGGTTGCATACCCGCCGACCGCCTACCCCGACCGCCAACTGTTTTGCAGCCTACCAGTAGGCCCAACCAATCGGCGGTCTGCCGACCAGTCAGTAAACAGCCATCCACTTTTTTTTTTAATCTGACTATGGGGCTGTACTGCGCTTCTGAGTACAGCCCAAATCTGCTGAGAAACTTTTGGGGCGGAGGGGGGGTATGGGGGGTTTGGAGGGGGGGTATAGGGGGGTATAGGGGTGGTATAGGGGGTATTGGGGGGGGTAATGAGGGTGTTGGGGGCGGTTTGGGGGTGTTGGGGGGGTGTATGGGGGTAGTGGGGGCCGCTATGCGGGTGTTGGTGGGGTTATTAGGGGTTCTGGACCTGGAAAAAGAAACTTCTTTTTTTTTTCCTTTTGTTTCCTTTTTTTTCCTTTTGTTTCCTTTTTTTTCCTTTTTTTTTCCTTTTTTTGTGGGGTGCCGACAACCCCCGACCGGTAGGTTCCAACCAGCCGACTGGTCAAGGGCCGCCGACTGTCGGGTATGCAACACTGGCCTACACTTTGTTTTGTGAACATTATTGACATGGCATGTAAGAAAAGCACTGCAGAAGAAAAGAGAAGAAAACGAAAATGGCAAACGTACTGATGCCAAGGCGGACAAGCTCAGCGTCAAGCTCTTCCACAAGCCTCTCTCTCTTCACTATCTCCTTTTCCAACATCTTAGCATCCTGCAACGAAAGAAAAAGAATCATCGCATGTTACAAATGCCCCACCAGTTCAGACAAACAATCATTGCCTTGCCTTTACGAGACCGAAAACTATATATCGACACAAGTATGAATGCAATCAGACTCGCTTTCATGCGCAATCAGACTCGCTTTCATTCACACTTCACATGTATGCAAACAGGTTGCGCAGCAAACTGGCGTCAAGCGCCCAAGTTCACTTCAAACGGCTATGGCGCACATCGCCTGTACAACTCTCTGTTCGTCACTTACTCGACACTGCTGTTCACACACAGGATCACCCTGGATATCCCACACACATCACACTCTGTACACTCACACACACACGCACACATCTACAGCTATGGCGGCTATGGCCGCTGCTACCCTATCGCTATGGCTAAGCTTCCTTCTCGCCCACTTTTTCTCCGGGCTCACTGCAGACCACCTCGCACAAGTCGCTATGCAAGCGCTTCCGCATGGCTTACGCAGGAATCAATGAATGGCTGGGCGCTGCCCCTTGATTTATACTTCTGTAACTCGCTGGTCTGCCCTTTTCCATCGGCCCATGGTGCACACAGTCCCTCATGGTACTTGCTGGACTGGACTGGGACTGACCGGACCGGTACCGCTGACTGCATGGGTTTGCACCATAGACTCACTGCAGTCGCACTGCCAACGTACTGAGGTTGGCTCCACCCCTTGCCCACTTGCCTCTGCCTAAACGTGAGCCCACTCCGAAAGGCCACTTCCGGGACCTTCCGGAAGTCTGTAGACTTGGCCTTTCGGGTACTGTAGCAGCTACGACCTTGACCTCTCAGGACTGTAGCAGCTACGACCTTGACAGGGCTGTGACTCCTACTCGACAGACCTACAGATCGAACCCCTACCACTACACAGACCTAGGACAGACAACAACAACTGTCAAAACACAGGTCACGGGTTCAAACACTCGGGGTCGACACAGATACTGTACACAGGTGAGGTGAGAACTATGGATCGAGCCCTGGGATCTGCATTCACTACTGCTAAAAGGTGAAAACCGTTTCATGAAGTTCCAAGTTCCAACACCAAAATATAAAACCAACAGGTGTGATTTGGTCGCTGGAACAAGATGTTTGGGGCCCTCCCAGCTGTCCAGAATGTCCACCTGGACATCCACCCAGATATCGAGCCCCCCGACATCTGGTAGCCTAGTTTTATTAGGGATTGCAATTCCTGTGCCTTGCAGTTAAAAAGAACCAGGATGATGTTCCCCAGAAAAGAATTGGAATCAGGTTTATTCAATCATAACGTTCACAAGTTCATAATTATTATTAAACTAAGACAAAAAATAAAAGAAATAAAAATTGGTGGGATCATAATTACCGCAATTGCTGCTCGCTGTTGGATATCCAAAAGGGCTACTCAGCCCAAGGAGAGAGGGTTTGGACCTGCCCAAATGTGTCCTGTCTTGGAGTTGTGGGACCTGCCACCTGAAAAGGTCTGGAACATACTTGCGGCGCACCGGCACTGTGCGCTGTGCGCGGACCCAGGGTGCACGCGCACCGGCGCGCATCGCGCATCTGGGTGCGCAGTGCGCGCTGCGCGGTGCAC